GCATGACCCCTCTCAAAGAGTTGAGGATAAATGAAGTAGTTTGGGGATGGAAAGTGGAAGAAGACATTGTTCAAGGACTGGAGAAACTTAACATGAAACTACTTCATAAGCTCAGAACAGGACCAAATGCATTGCTATCCAAGATAAACGGAAGGTAGCAAAGGGAGATATCTAAGTTGCCCCCTCCAACGGGTAAGGAACTTTCTTGCGTTTGGTCACAATTGGAGGCTCTTCCGTCGTAGAAACTGGCATCCCTGCTCTGGCTTGAGTCACATTTAGCGGTTCCCACCGCAAAATGGCTCTCAGAGAAAGGCATGGCTGTCAACACTACCTGTGACCGCTGCCAAAGGGACACTGAATCGACGTCCCACCTTTGGCGGGACTGTCCCAAATCACGGCGGTGGTGGGATTGGTGGGAGTACCACTGGAAAAGATTCACAGGTCTTATGGAGTTCATATGTCAGCGGTGGGCATTACTAGGTGGGACCCCGGAGGGTTTCAACGGTAAGGAGGGGTGGGGGTACATAGCCCAGGTAAGCCAAGCGATCCTCCTTTGGGTTATCTGGCTCAATCGGAATGGTCAGAGGTTCCAAGCGGTTAGCATGACAGAGCGGCAGACAGGAGCAACCTTCAAATTGTTACTAGCTAACGCCATCTGGGTGGACTGGTATAGAAGGGTTCAGGATAAGGTTACAAACATAGGGATAGACTGGTTTAGGAAAACCTTGTGCGTTAAGGACCAGCTAGCCCAGATCACTTATGAAGAGAAACTGGCTCTGTGAAGTTGGATTAAGCGGAGGTAGTGGGGTAGGTTGGCAATAGGGGTTAGAGGGTAAGAGTAGGGTAGGTCCGAGTCTATGAACCAGGTGTACTCGGTTCCAGTCAGCGGGCGCAGTAGTTCGCATAGGGTAGGAGGGTGGAGAGTGTCGGTCATATATAAGGGAACAGGGATTTCCTCTCCGCCGTACTGGGATGGGGTCAGACCGTTTGCTAGGTTTGTGCAGTAGTGGTAGAGATAAGAAGCTTTAAAAGTGACCAGGGGGACGAGAATATCTCTGATTCAACAGTAATTAAACTAAGAGTAGAATGACAAGAATGATCTTGTGTTTTTTTGGCCAAATTGGAGGAATAAGTTGGATCGTTTTGTCGAAAAGCTAAACCGGCTGATGCTGCCGGGATAACTTCGGGTTGAATTGTAAGGGTCCCCGACCTCGTTCATGAATTGATATTTGGAATATAAGAGAGATACATGTTAAAATAATAATAATAATAATAATAATAATAATAATAATAATAATAATAATAATAATAATAATAATAATAATAATAATAATAATCTCCACGGGGACCAAAAAAACATAAATCCCAAAATTTGAGTCAGTTTTCGGGTCACGTTGGAGAGACCCGCTACCGAAATGCCTCAAAGGGTGACCCCTTTGTCAACGGCTTGTGGGGCCGCGGGGGAACCCTTTTTGAGACCACCTCCAGAGGTGGTCTGTTCGCGAATTGAAAAAAATAGTAGATGAAGAAGACAATCCGCTAAACAACTGGACGTGCGACCAGAAACATTTACGTTGTACCGAAAACCCACTCGTTATACTGGAGTGAAAAAAAAAAATCCAGCTTTTTGTTTGGTCCTCTTGCCCTGAGTGCAAAAGTGTCAGGGTCGCGACTTCGTCCTTTCTGGACGAAGTCTGCCCATGTGACACCACGGGGACCAAATGCCTAAAAAAAATGGAACCAAATGCCTAATAAAAACGGAACCAAATGCCTCAAATTTTTGAGACTTTTGGTCCCCGTGTGAGTATGCTCTCAGTCAGTTTAGCTTACATGCTATTGCCTACGGACCTCGAGTCTGCTGAGATCCAATTCCTAATGTTCATACTCACTTGTCATAAAAGGTTGAAGATGATTGAACGTACTGTTTGCTGCAGGGGAAACACCCTAGACGGACTTATCAGTCCCACTAGCCTCCAACCATAGATCTATAATTGGGATGCCTTCCCTATCTTATGCCATTCTGCACTAATTTTGCACTAACTTGGGACTAATACAGCCCAGAGGACCTGGTTCAGGTCCGGGTCCTAAAGACACTCTGCTACCAACCTACTACGACACAAAAGAACCGAGTGTCCTGGTTGGGGGGTCTGCCAACTAGGATTACGACTACCGACTACCACTTAATAGTGCATGAAACCATTGTTCACTCCCTTGGGTTATTCATCTCCGGAACCCATCGAGAGATAACCAGGTTGCCTGCGTGGATACATGCTAGCTTTTGGTTACATGCCCTGGTTCGCCTGAACCACCTCGTCTGACTTCGTGATCCTTTGCCCGCTTTGGCTTTGCGCCTCCAGTCAACCCGGATTGTTTCAGACCCTGGTTGATGAACACTTAGTCTCATGGTCTGAGATAGGATTTTTCTGGAAGCGTGCCCTGTTTCTGTCCCTCCAGATCACTTCAAAGATTAGGCCGTTGATGGCAGTATGGAGTGAAGACTTGTCCCAACAGGTTCTAAGTTTGAAAGGTTGTGGGAACCCTTGACAGTCCTGCCAAATGGGAAGCAAGTTAGTGTGCTCTAGATGTTATCACTGATGGTCACACTATCGGCGGTATGGCTAGCAGGCAGAGGTATGGTGATAGATCTGGGTTTTTCAAAGTGTAGATAGTCGTTTGAATCAACCAGACATTTGTGGTGGGATTGTCCAGCGTCTGAACGAGTATCACTGGACAAAGTTTGGAGACCAATCAATAATCTGCGATGAGAAATGGGTGTTGTTGGGATTCCTGCCTGCAAATGTTAAGGGGAACCGTGGTTGGGGGTATGTGAACGGGGAGAATAGGCACTCATCCGCGTTCAACTTCTCGTTGACGTTCCTGAGAACGAGTGCTGAGTTTGATTAGCTTCAGCTCCCCCGTGTACTGGTCCGCCAACTTCGACATGTGAATCCACCTCACACCCCCTTGAGTCAAAGTATCTGCCAACTCCGAAGGAATGCGAGCATCCAGCAAAGGAAAATACAACTTGTAGTACCGTTCTGCCGACTCTACTATCAGGCTGACCATTGTCGAACGCGGGATCAACCTGATCGGGACGTGCTGCCTGTACAGAGATTTAGTAAAGACGAAGATTTCTGAAGGAGTAGGGGAGCGTTCCACGTCTACCGACGGTAGGTATGGTACGCCGTCGGACTTGGCCAGGGCTAGGAAGTAGACCCCATCGTTAGCCATCGTGCAGAGTACTGGCACCAGTCTTCTCTGGACACTTTCCACTTGGCTTCTACGAAGGGTGTCTGCTCTCCGATCTTGATCTTGGAACAGGTTCACTTCTCTCATCCGCTCTTCATTCCTGGGTGACTTCGTGGCTGCCGAACTAAGCATGGAGGATCTTTCTCCTTCATAGCTTTCTGACGCCTTTTCCTCATCATACCACTCGCTGCCCCACCGCACCCTCGATTGGGAGGAATCCGAGGTTCTCGACAAGTCCCTTTGAAACCCCCCCAAACCTTCTGCTCTATCCATGCCATTGCGCGGTTTGCTTTTGCTGCCCCTTTGATCTCCAGGTCTTCCCGGGAGGTTAGCATGCGAAATGTCCTCTCCTCCCATCTGCCACTCTTCTTTGTTGCCTTGGTCGTGTTCTCTCCCTCCCATTTCGTCCCTTCTTCCAGGATCTCTCCACCTGTCACCGTTAATCCCACCATTTGATCTCTTGAAGAGGAGTGCGCGTTACTATCATTCTGCACCCCGTCATGGCGGCGGGGTTCTCAGACGAACAGCGCTACACGAGGGGATCCGCGTAGCGGGGCTGAAACCGGAGCGCTATGCTACCGGCCCGGAAGCAGCGCTCCGCTGGGAAAAAAAAAACGTCGCCTCTTATTTTCAGAATTCGCAATGAAAAGAAAAATAAAATGCATGAGGACTCGCCCGCTGACTGACTCCCGCTCCGCCTCCCCTTGGGAAGCCCTTGGCTACTACCAAGCCATTATCTCCGGGGGCAACCCCCTCTAACGGTAACGCACGAGCATGCGCCAGCGCCGGCTGGCGTATCCCCATTTCCCCAGAGTACGCCGACAGTCCTATTGACGGCTCTCGAATCTACCGAGCGTCTCGGTTTTCAAGTTTTTGCTTGTTGTCTGGGCATACTCAGACTACCGACTTCTTCACTCGTTTATGGACGTAGTTGCTGTCAGATGCATTCAGGTAAATGCCATCAGATAGTACGTCCTCAGGGCATACTCACACGGGGACCAAAAGAACCAAAAATTTGAGGCATCTGGGTACGGTTATTTGGATCATTTGGTCCTTGTGTGGTCACACGTGCAGACTTCGTCCAGAAAGGACGAAGTCGCAACCCTGACACTTTGCACTCAGGGCAAGGTCGTGTGGTCACACAAGGGGACACCAAAGAAAAAGAAAAACAACAACAACAACAACAACAACAACAACAACAACTTCGGCTGGTTGTCTTAGGGTGGGCCCCCACAAGAAAAAGCTTGGAAAAAGTGGTCCCCCACGGAAAACGGGAAACGTTTTCTGGAAAGCTGGAAAACAGTTTTGCGGGGAGCCCACTGCGGTGTACGTTTTGCGGCAAAATGGAGGAAACCTTTTCCGTTTCGGGAAAGCGGCTCTTCGGCCTTCCTAGAAAGGAAATTGGTGTGGGTGTCCGGGTGGCGCCTATGGACCAAACACATGACCGGCCGTGTCCTGCATGAGTGACGCACTGCGGCGCCTGTGGGACCCGATGCGACGACGCGAAAACGAGAGGCTTGACAGGTCCTTCCCTGCGAACCGGAACCCCACGTCCGGAGGTTTCCTCCCATGTGACCATTGTTGGGGCAGCGGCGACGTGCCTCTTCCACCCTGCTCGCAGAGGCGGCAGGTGGTCGTCGACACCTGCAAACAACCAACCCCCCCCCCCCCCCCCCCCCCCCCCCCCCCCCCCCCCCYCCCCCCCCTCGCTCGGGCTCCATTCTACATAAACTGCACTGCATCCCGTGGCGATGATAACGCCATCGTCGCTCTCTATCACCTGCCCGCATCTTGCTATCGACCTCGTTTCCCCATCTGCAGCACCGAAGCTTGCCTACAACTTGACGGTTGTCCTTCCGCAGGCTAGCGCGCAAGTTTCCCCTTGCCATGGACTCTATGCCCGACTCGTCAGCGGCCAATGACTGGGACGATGTGTCCTTCCTCGCTGTCTTCACCCTTCTGCAGTGGTTAAACCATACGAACGTGGTGGCGATGGCGGTGCTGGAAGCTGCGACTGCGTTGCCCATCTGTCTGCCAAGCATGTCGCCCGGCCTGTTGATATTGGCAAGCACCGTCATGCACGGCATTTCCTTAACGGCCATGGCTGCAAGTGCATTCGTCCAACGCATGGATGATCGCCGTCGGGTTTGGGTAATGGAACGAAGCGGGGGGGTGTGGAAGGACCTGCAGAGAGAGGGGGGAAGGCACGAAAAGGTGTTTCAGCGTTTTTGCAGACTTCCTCCGCCATTGTTCAACGAGGTGTTAGCGCGCATAGATCCTCACATCCAGCGTCAGACAACGAATTGGAGGCAGCCGATTCCCGCTGGTCAGAAGTTCGCTTGCGCGCTAATCAGGTGGGCAACAGGCGGTTTTTACCGGCAGTCCGCCCACGGTTTGGGCCTTGGTTTGGCGACCACGCTGCGAAGCAATGTTGACGTGGCCGACGCCATAATCAAGGAGTATGGCGAACTGGTGCAGTTCCCGTCCGACCAGAAGCTGCAAGACACGCTTGACGCTTTCGAACGGAAAGGCTTCCCGGGGTGCGTCGGAGCGATAGACTGCACCCACGTGTACATCGAGAAGCCCAACAACRAGCGTGGTGAGTGCTTCTACGACCGCAACGGGCAGTTCTCCATCGTCGCGCAGGTGGTCTGCGATGAGAACTGCCGTGTCAYRAGCGTTTTCGTGGGTTGTCCAGGTTCCGYGCATGACAGTCGGGTGYTGCGGGTGTCTCCGCTGCACAGGCAGGCACAAAGTGGCAGCGGCGTGTTYGGCACAGGCGGGGAGGTCCTTCGAGGAGGTCGGAACATTGRAAGGTATCTRCTGGCGGATGCCGGGTATCCCCAGTTGCCTTGGCTTATGACTCCGATCGGAGGCWCGAGCAGGACAGCGGCTGAACGAGTGTACGATGACTGCCACACCTCGGCGCGTTCGTGCATAGARCGGACGTTCGGTAGGCTAAAGGCAGTGTGGAGGAACTTCGTGAGGAGGCAGATTGCCAACATGGCAACTCTGCGGAAGGARTTTATGRCCATATGCATCCTCCATAAYATAATGGTGGACAGGAGGGTGCAGGTCGATCCCGAGATATTGGACGATGACRGTGAMGGGCCGGACGTGKAAAGCAGGCSTCGCCGTAGGCGGGGGGGCAGGCGTGATCGRCCTGYAYGACGCCCTCSTCCGCCGGAGGAGGACGCTGCATCAGCGCTGGAGATGGGGAAGGAATTACGCGAGTGCCTTGTGCAGCACGTGTGGCATCAYARCCGTGTCCAMGGTGCTCCTCAGCCAAACCCGTGGGGTCGTTGAAGTCCGTTWTTTTATATAATTTTGAATAGTTGTTCAAGGACGACCACTGCGTCTGTYTYTYTCTCTCTCTCTCTCTCTCTCTCTCTCTCTCTCTCTCTCTCTCTCTCTCTCTGGAAATGCGATTGTGATTGTGAACGGTCTTCTCATATGCATGTGATTACTGAATTGTGTCCCCATGAGCGTGTGCAGAATGAAATGTCTCCCCATCTGGCAGATGCTTTTAGAACGCCGGTGATCGGCGGTTGGCAATGCAATGGTCGTTTTGCCATGCCCTCTGAATGGGCGATTCGGAATTCAAAGACAAAAGGGAAAAAAAAAAAAAAAAACAAGTAATGGCAATGGCAATTGCGAAGACAACACACACCCACACACCCACACACAGACGCACACACACACACACACACACACACACACACGCGCGCGCGCGTGCGCGCAAGTGTGTGTGTGTGTGTGTGTGTGTGTGTGTGTGTGTGTGTGTGTGTGCGTGTGTGTGTGTGGGGGCGATGATCTGGCAGACACGCCCACATCTGAAAGTATGAACACAAACACGTTCAATGCCGTTCATGAAGTGACGTACGGACACACAAGGCGAAAAAAAAAAAAATTCCAAAATCATATATTAACGACAAATTGTGCAAGGACATACAAACACAACTGACCCAAACAGGATTCCACCGCAAATGAACAAACACAAAGAACGTTGGAAGACGTGCAAAACCAACACAACCAATGGTAAGGAATCCTCAAAGCACTTCACAAAAAACATGGCCGTCCACCAAGGACTTGTCGAATTGCTGGCCTACGTCCACTTCACCTAAAAACGTCGGGATCAATCGACCGACCCCCAAAAAACGACCACCGACCGAAAGCAAAAATCGAATGGACATCCACGTGGCCGCGACATGTTGTGCCACGTGGAACCACTGAGCACGACACCCTCCGCCTGATCGTATCCTCCAACCCACACCAAACATATGACGGCAGGTCTACCCCATCCAAACAAACCGGGCGTTTTGCTCAAAAAAGCCCGCCGGAAACTAATCAACCGCCTCACTACAAAACAGGCCACGTGTCCACCCCACGCACGTCCGGGTGATCCTCTCCACCGACCCCAAGCGCACATCATGGCAGTTTGTCCGCCCGAAAAACACACTACGCGCTTCGATCACAGAACCCCACGAGTACCAATCAATCCTCTAACTACACAAGAGGTGACGTGTCCACCCCACACTGAGAGGCCCTTCGTCTTTGTGGCTGCGACACGTACCTCATCTTCCCCACCGCTCTCTCCCGTGCTGATGCACGTCATCCGCACTCGTCCCGCCATCGCCTAAAGTCGGATCTCGCTATGGAGGTACCCTCGCCCGACCAGCGGTGGGTCCATGAACGTGTAGTAAAACGCGCCCATGTCCAACCTGCCGTCGTGCTCGACGGCAAGATTCTCGATAAGATTCGTCACGATATCGCCAACGATATCGACCACCGCCCATTCGTTGGGGATATGGTCCCCAACCTTCTTCACCCATAGAAGGACATGGGACAATAGCCGCTTCCGATACGGCGTCGACATCAACCGCCGCCTTCCCGTTTACATCCACCGAGTAGAAGTGCACGCACCGCCGTGTGATCTTCGGACCGAAAGGAACCGCGCGAGGAAGGAAACCATCTCGCTCCCGGCGATGCTCCCAACACATCACGCTCTCCCCACGCACGATCTCCTGCCACGCCAGTTCGACCGCCATCTCTCTCTCTCTCTCTCTTTGTGTGTGTGTGTGTGTGTGTGTGTGTGTGTGTGTGTGTGTGTGTGTGTGTGTG